AAATCAAAACCACGTATTCTCGAAATACGTTTTTCTAATTAAATTTTTTTAGAAAAATGTTTTATTTTTTTTTTAAATATTAAAATTTCTGAAAAAAAGTCGAAGTTAAATTAAAAATAATAATTATAAACCGTATTTTAGGAATGAGTTTTTTAAAACCTTAAATCAATTTCAGGGTTTATAAAAACATATTTTAGAAATACATTTTATATTTGTATAATTTATTTTTTTTTAAAAAGAAAATCTATTAAAATGTATTTTCGAAATAAGTTTTATAATTTATTTTTTTTTTTTAAAAAAAAAACCTATTAAATGAAAATTTGACGTGCGTTTTAATAGAAAAATAAATATCAAAAAATGAATTCTTGAAATACGTTTTTTGTTGCATTATAAATATGCAGCTTCTGCTCATTTGGAGGCAGATCAGATCGGGAATTTTACACCTTCAAAAAAAAAGCTCTGAATTTTTTTTTCTTTCACCTTCAACAAAAAAAAGAAAAGGTTTCAACACTCAATCGGTACGAAGAAGAGGTTAGTTGTTATTTTAATGTAATGTAATCATTTTTTTTTTTTTTTTGTTTATGATTGTTCAAGAAATATTGTTGGGTTAATGAGTATTGTCTAGAAAAGATTGATTGTTGATTTAATAGTTGTATTAAGTGATTATACTTTGGTTTTGGATGATGGGTTTTTGGTGTATGTTGAATATTTATCCGAAATATAAATGAATTCTATGTTATTGTTGGATTATGGGTATTAGGATTTCAGAGAATTATTTGATAAAAGAATTGGCAATATATTTTTTGGTTGTAGTATTAATTGGGAATATTTTTTTTGTTAGAAATTTTTTTTTTTTTTGGTTGGAGTAAAAAAATCATTAATTATATGTTGTTATTGGAAATGAGTTTTACATTTAGAATGGTAAAAGAATAATTAAATTTTTTGGGTGTTGGATTAGACATTACGTGTTGTTATAATTGGAAAGAATTGAAAGTGTTTTTTTGCAACAAGGATAAATGGCGTATAGCGGTCCAAACTTTGTTAATATGTATTGGAATTTTCCCAAGAATATGTTACGCAATTTTGTTTTATTTAAAGAATGTCAGGATGGTTCATTTGTTATTGGGGGAAAGATATCATATGAACAATTGGTAGAGATGATTTATGAAAGTGGTGGATTTGGAGAATGTTGGACAATGGAGGAGATTACTTTAATGGTTAGACAAGACGATGGTTCGTGGAATGCCGAAAGACTGAATAACGATAGTGCCCTTCAGTGGATTTATTACTTTTCTCCTATGTCCATTGTGTATTTGCATATAGCGTTGGTGACAACTACACAGTTTACACAGGCTGAGAATGTTACACCTTACGGGGGAGTGGTTGATGTTGCGGGTACGTCTACTTCGCATGTACGTAATTTTGGAGAAGGGACAAGCTCAACAATGAGAGAATGAGAAAATGAGAATGGGGAACAAAGCGATGAAGATTTCATTCCTGGTGAAGATGATTTCACATATGAGAACTCAGAAAGCGAATCAGATAGATCGATAAATGAGGAGAGTGAACCCAAATTGATTGAAGAACACCCTTTTTCTAGTGGTGGTCGCCACATATATCGTGAGATGGATGAATGTCAGTCGTCGAAGATAGATGAGAACGGGTTTGCTCTTCCACTTTGGAATGGGAACATTGAGACTATAGGTTTGGGTACAATTTTTAGGAGCAAGGAAGAAGCACAAGCGAGTATCTTGGCTTGGAACGTTTATAGGTTGAGGGCAGTTCAGATAAAAGATTCAAATAAAAATTCATTCAAAGTGGTGTGCAGATCTAATGAAGATGAACCTTGTGTGTGGAGGGCTCGGGTGACTAAGTGCAAACGGGTTCATGAAATGTGGGAATTAACGGAATTGACTGATAGACACAGTTGTATGCAACGAATCGAGAAAAATGACCAAAAAATGTAATCGCCCATATGATTTCAATCTGGTAATGAATAAGATTGAAAAGCAACTGGACTACAATGTTAGCATGATCCAGGCAGATGTGAAAAAGTGTTGGAAAGTTGATGTCTGCTATAAGAAGGCATGACACGGAGGAAAAAAGCCATTGTTCGTGTGCATGCCACTTGGGAATCGAACTTCACAAAACTCCCTCAGTAAGAAAAAATTAATTATATATATATATATATATGTGTTGTTTGTCACTATGTTTATCTATTGATGATTACATTTTGTAATGTGCAGGTTTTTGTGGCGCTTCAAAGAGAGAATCCCACCATAGTTGTACAGTGGGAATGGAAGGGTGGGGAATTGACGCACCAGTATCGAGACAGAGAATTCAAATTTGTATTCTGGGTGTTT